TTGTTTCGTCCTTGTCTTCTTTTTTAAGGGGACACTGAAGAAATCAATTGTGTGACCCCCTGCAGAATTGTGGGGTTTTCTTCCGTGTTTTCTATGAAGAGGAGATGGACGATACCAAAATTGATCTGCTGCCCCAATTGCAGCTTGGGATCTTTTTCGTTTTTCAATCTTACATGTCTTCTCCCTTTTCTATCTACATTCCGTTACAGGCGATGTATCCCTAGGCACCCTTCCTCATATGACCCTGGCTGCTGTGTCTCCCTAGGCACCCTTCCGCATATGACCCTGGCTGTTGTGTCTCCCGAAGCACCCGTCCTCATATGACCCTGGCTGTTGTGTCTCCCTAGGCACCCGTCCTCATATGACCCTGGCTGTTGTGTCTCCCTAGGCACCCGTCCTCATATGACCCTGGCTGTTGTGTCTCCCTAGGCACCCTTCCTCATATGACCCTGGCTGTTGTGCCTCCATAGGCACCCTTCCTCATATGACCCTGGCTGTTGTGTCTCCCTAGGTACCCGTCCTCATATGACCCTGGTTGTTGTGTCTGTTGCGAGGACTTTAGACACCAAGCAAACAAACAAAAAGCCTCATAATACAATTGAAATCTACATATTACTTTCACATGCATTATACCCCATTTCATTAACGTAAGCTACATTGAAACGTAAGTATATATTACATACTTTATATAAAATCGATATCTACCGTAACAATATATTAGGAATAAAAGGAAAATCCTTCCTCGGTTCTGACATTCAATCTTTATGAAAATATTCTTCAATACGTGTTTATCTTCCTGTACTATTTTACTATTTACCATATCTACTGTCTCGCTGGTACGGCAAGTCAAATGCAATTTAATATCTCTGATCGACGCGGGCTAGCTAGACTGCAATGGAATGAAATTCAGTAATTAGGATGTTTATCAGTGTATTTACATCTGTTTACACTACACCGGCAGGTAGCTTGGATCGATAGATACTCCCTAGCTAGTTGATTTAAGGTTATATGATGATTCTCGAAAATAAATAAGTTATAGCTCCATCGCTTCACTAATTTACCTAATGACACATAACCATGAAATCTCCTAAATATATATGTTAAAGACGTAGCATCCGTTTGTTTTCCTTTCTTCCTGTAGACCTGAACAGCCTGCATTGATTGGCTTTGTCCACATAGACCTGAACAGACTGCATTGATTGGCTTTGTCCACATAGACCTGTACAGACTGCATTGATTGTCTTTGACCACATAGACCTGAACAGACTGCATTAATTGTCTTTGTGTCCATAGACCTGAACAGACTGCATTACTTGTCTTTGTATCCATAGTCCTGGACAGACTGCATTAATTTTCTTTGTATCCATAGACCTGAACAGACTGCATTGATTGGCTTTGTCCACATAGACCTGTACAGACTGCATTGATTGTCTTTGACCACATAGACCTGAACAGACTGCATTAATTGTCTTTGTCCACAAAGACCTGAACAGACTGCATTAATTGTCTTTGTATCCATAGACCTGAACAGACAACAATGATTGGCTTTGTATCCATAGACCTGAACAGACTGCATTAATTGGCTTTGTATACATTGACCTGAACAGACTGCATTAATTGTCTTTGTCCACAAAGACCTGAACAGACTGCATTAATTGTCTTTGTATCCATAGAAATGAACAGACTGCATTACTTAGCTTTGTCCCTATAGACCTGAACAGACTGCATTAATCGTCTTTGTATCCATAGACATGAACAGACTGCATCACTTAGCTTTGTCCCTATAGACCTGAACAGACTGCATTAATCGTCTTTGTATCCATAGACATGAACAGACTGCATTAATTGTCTTTGTATCCATAGAAATGAACAGACTGCATTACTTAGCTTTGTCCCTATAGACCTGAACAGACTGCATTAATTTTCTTTGTATCCATAGACCTGAACAGACTGCATTACATGTCTTTGTATCCATAGACCTGAACAGACTGCATTAATTGTCTTTGTGTCCATAGACCTGAACAGACTGCATTACTTGTCTTTGTATCCATAGTCCTGGACAGACTGCATTAATTTTCTTTGTATCCATAGACCTGAACAGACTGCATTAATTGTCTTTGTGTCCATAGACCTGAACAGACTGCATTACTTGTCTTTGTATCCATAGTCCTGGACAGACTGCATTAATTTTCTTTGTATCCATAGACCTGAACAGACTGCATTACATGTCTTTGTATCCATAGACCTGAACAGACTGCATTAATTGTCTTTGTATCCATAGACATGAACAGACTGCATTACTTAGCTTTGTCCCTATAGACCTGAACAGACTGCATTAATTGTCTTTGTATCCATAGACCTGAACAGACTGCATTA